CCCCCCCCAGGCCCCCAGGCCCCCATGCCCCCACATCGACCTGCCACGACCCCACGCGCCCCAGGTCAGAAGCAGTCATTTCGAAATCCCGGCTTCGCAGATAGCCCCAGAAACGTGCAAAGGCAGGCCGGGTCCGCCCAGCCAAGAGGGCCTTCATGAGGGAATGCGAGTGGGACGCAGAGAAGGAGAGAAAGACAAACCGGCACCAAGGCATGCAGGAGCCGAAAGAACAACGGGAAAGGCTGCCCCACCGCTGTGGCATGCCAGCGGAAGGCTCGAAAAAGAGGTGTGGGGTGCGGTCCAAGCAGGTCCCTGTCCGTGGGAATGGTATTGTATTTACACGTGATCGAATGGGGGATCAGCCGAGGAAGCCGCCCGTCCGGCTGCGGACGGCATCGTGGAACTCCAGCTCCCGCGGCACTCGGGACAGCGGGTTCGACTTGAGCATCGTGAACAGATCATAATAGACCGGCTCGTCGTCGGCCGTCAGGAAGGTGATGGCCAGGCCACTCTTCCCTGCACGACCAGTACGACCGATACGATGCGTGTAGGCTGTGTGCAAGTGGGTGGGTAAGCGGAAGGGGGGCGAGTGAGTGAGCGAGCGAGCGAGTCAGAGAGAGAGAGAGGGGGGGGGGAGGAGGAGGAGGGCGCAATGGCAGAGAAGAGAAACAAGGAGGGAATGCACAACACAGGCCTCTTGAGACTGTTTGGAGCGCTGAAAGCATAGATGGAGCTTCTCTTGGAGGCGACACGCACGTTCGATCGACTTGGACATATCGAAGTTGATGACCAGCGAAACATCCTTGACATCCAGGCCTCGCCCAGCCACATCGGTGGCCACCAAGATGTCCTTGCTGCGATCCTTCAGGGCATTGATCGAGGCCTCTCTGTGAAAATGAGCGCAGGGTCGTGTGTGTGTGTGTGTGTGTGACATGGGAAAGTCAGTGGCCGGCGGCCAAGGGTCAAGTCAAAGAGGAGGAGATCAAGACGCACCGCTGGTCCTGGCGCTTGTCGCCGTGGATCACCGTGACACTGTACTGTGCGTGCCGGTGACACGGGGGAGGTTGAGGCAGGTATGACAGTCAGTCGGGCGGGGGGATCAATAGCTCGGTGCGGCAGGAGGGGAGAAACGCAATCTCGTACACCGCGGGTTTCCAGCCAGTTGCTGACATTGTCGGCCGTTCGGCGGTGATTGACGAAGATGATGATAGGGGGCTCGAAGAACTGATTGAGCACACTCTCCATGTGGGAGCTGGACGTCGAGGATGACCGGGGGGGGGGGGGAGGGGCGAAGAGGGGGAAGGAGGGCCCACATATCGCAGGCAAAAGGACAGCAAGGTCAACACGCCGGAACACACAGGCAGCGAACAACAAGCAACAAGCAGCAGCCAGCTGGCAGGGAGGGGGAGGGCGGGACGTACAACTTGGCGCTCTCCGTGCACATGATGACACGCTGCTCCACGGTGTCCACCGACTGGCCAGCCACACCAATGGTGACAGTCACTGGTCGATGCATATACCTGTTGATGATTGCCAGCACCAGCATCCCAGGTGAGGCAGGGTGGGGTTAGAAGAAAAGGGAGGGACATCCCAGCGCAGGGCACGGCATTAGTCTGACAGTTCAAGCTTCAAGAAGCAGTCTGCATGGAGGCAAAGAAGAGCCCGGCAGACGGGGAGAAAAGGCAAAGGGCAGGAGGGCAAGGGAAGCATCAAGAGCACGCACTGCCGGGCAATCATCTCCACCGGAGGCTTCATGGTGGCCGTGAACATGACCGTCTGCCGGTAGAGGGACTTGACGTCGAGGAACTCCCCGGCCGCCGCCCGGTCCAACGGCCCGATGCCAAGCTCGTTGTCCAGGGACTCCGGGCGCTTGTTGCACACCGGCATGGCTTCCAGGATGGATGTCAGCTCCTTTTGGAAGTTCATCTCGATCATGACATCGGCCTCGTCAACCACCACATAAGTGCACTGGTTCAACACCACAACATGGCTTTCCAGACAGTCGAGCATGCGTCCCGGCGTGGCAATGACAATGTGCGCGCCGTCAGCCAATTGGCGACTCTGCTCGGCGATCGAGTGCCCGCCCACCACCGACACACAGCTGAACCCCAAGCGCGAGGAGAACTTCAGAGCCTCGGACTCCAGCTGCTGGGCCAACTCACGCGTGGGAGCCAGGATCAGTGCATACGGCCCATCAGCTCGGTTGCGTTCCGTCAATGGCGGCAGCCGCATGATGAACGACAGCATGGGGATCATGAAGGCCGCTGTCTTACCGGAGCCGGTTTGCGCAATCCCAATGAGGTCGCGATTTTGCAGGCCCACCGGGATGGACTGCCGCTGGATCGGCGACGGGTCCTTGTACCCGATGTCCCGCACGGCGGCCAGGATCTGCTTCGGGATGGTCGACTCCTCCCAGGACCGGATTGGGTGTGGGATCTGCCCACCACCCTTGACCGCAATGTCAAAGTCCTCCCGGAATACACTCCAATCCCGGGGGGTCATTTCGCTGAGAGCTTTGGTGGTCCAGTGGCGGGAGAATCTGACCGAGGGCGCGTGGTGTACGGAGGGTCAGCGGGCAAAAAGAGAGGAGAGGCAGCAGAAGGGGAGGGCAGGCCAAGGGGGGGGGGGGGGGGGGGCGCGTGATGACGCACTCTTGCTTGATTTCAACCATGCCACCAACTTGGCCACGCCAAAACTGGCCGACCACACGGGGCTGCACTTCGTCCGAAGTATTGTCCTTCAGGTCCCAATCGAAGGTGGGACGCCGCTCGCCAGTGCGTCGAGTGCGTCGCTTCGGGTCACTACCGCCGACGTAGCGCTCCTGGGCGATGATGGCGTTGCGCTGTGTCAGTTACGAACATCGAAGCCGAGGGGAGAGGGGCAGGAGGCAACAGCTCGGCCATGACGAAGGGCACCGGTACACACCCGGATCAACTGGCTTTCGCGAGCTTGGACACGCTCATTGACCAGGGCCTCGAGAGCTTCGGGCGGAGCTCGGAGAAGGGTGTTCACATCGAGATCGCGCTCGGCCGCCAGAGCGCGAATGTCCTCCTCAGTGCTTGGGGGATTCCACAGGAACCCCGTCGAGAGAGAGAGAGAG